AGGAATCTCCACGATAAGGTCTATCAAGATTCCACCACTTCTACTTGAGTTCTTGTCTTCTCTTAAAGTCATTAAGGTACAAGATGTGTTTATTTTCTTTTATGTAGAGTTTAACTGCTCCAAGCCACTTGTCTTCAACCCACTAACTATCACTTGCGACTTCCGCGAGTTCGTTCCCGAATGCAAAGAATACAAAGGAGCGGATGGTCCTGCTGCTGCAGAAGTCCAGCAAACGACCACAACAACAGTGAGAACGACAACAACAACGAATGTACATGAGTTATTTTAAAATATAGTATGCCAGTTCTTCCTATTTAAGAAACGACATTATTTTAGCCACCCACTTGCGTGTACAATGAAAATCGTCAAGCATTCGCGCTCGATTACTGTGCTCGCATTTATGGAATTTGCTCGGTGCGCGGAATTCTTCAACGTGAAGAATGTCCAGTGGGATTCCTATTTGACTCCCACCTCATCACATGTGTACCAGCTGAGCAATGCGGACAACAGAAACTACAGGAACTGCTCAGCAAGGTTACAACTTTCAAGAATTATCTATTGACACAGTGAACTAGGACGATTAAGTCTATGAAAGGTTTTAGGTTAACTTTGCTCCGCCAGTTGCTGATGCTCAAGTTGGACAGGATACCACTTCCATTCGCAAAAAAGATGACCGATGTCGCAACTCCGCCGAAGGGGCCATTAAACCTCTTGGCCGATGTCGCTCCTCTTACCTCAAATGTGTCGGAGGAGAAGTGGTTATTGAACAATGCGCGACGACAGCCGAAGTCTTCTCTGTAGCAGTAGGTGCATGCGTGATGCGAATCAACGCTCCGGAATGCCATGCACCACCAGCGCGAGTTCCACACGTTTCATCATCGTCTACCTCAGATGATCCATCAATGTTCTGCAAGACGAGAAGTGATGGATTATATAGAAATCCCACTGACTGCGCGGGAATACTTCAGGTAAGTTCTTTAGGTCTCCAGAGTTTCTGTCTGTAAATCAGCTCTGTTGCAGTGCTTCGGAGGAGACGTATTTGAGTACCCATCGTGTTCATCAGGTTTAGTGTTCAACGAAGCTACAAGCAAATGCGACTACAGAGACGCGGTCCCAGAGTGTAAACTACCGTCTGCAGATAGCGGAGGAGGTAATCATGAATTTCTTGAAACTTTTGTAAGGCAAACTCTGAAATTTACTTTTTGCTGCAGAAATGAGCGGTTGCCGAGGTGCTAGCCATGGTGATTTGATTCCACATGAAAACAGCTGTCAACTGTTCTATCGATGCTCGTGGAATCATCTGGAAAAAATGCGTTGTCCATCAGGAACGGTGTTCAATCCGGAACTGTCAGTATGCGACTATCCAGCAAATGTGCCACAATGTGCCAACCATGGTGAAGTAGAATCAAATAATTAGATACAGTTGCAATGATAGAGATATGATAACCACAGATATGCCTAAGACTTCTCATTCTGTGTATAATACTCGGTGAGACCTGTGATACTATGTGATAATCGATTGTCACTCTGTAATAATAACATCTGCTTGTTCCTTTAATAATTCTGTTTTACTGTTTTATGTTCTTTTTTTTGAGTAAAAGCAGACTTTTTATTATTAGTTTTTTGCACATGACAGACACTAAGTACAAGTAACTCTGTTAACGATTGTGCTAGATGATTAGAACTTTTTCCTATTCAATGAGAAGAAATGAGACAATGAAGATCGTTCATCTATGAAGAACGATGAGTAATAAAAACAAACCCCTAATCTTGATATGAGCGCTGTTAATTTGAGAGCAGAAATTTTGGAGGCCATTGAAATCCAATAAAGCAGCTGAATTTTGATTCGCATGTAGACGAAGGACTCCTGATTAAATTTGTGTGACTTTTGTTTGAGTCTCTTATCATCGTCTACACAGTAGACAATTTAAGGAAATGATATAAAAAATGTGGACCAATGAGTCCCGAGAATTCATGATATGAAGTATACGAACGCTATATTGATGGGTCAGAATTTTTCTACAGTTGATCCGAATTAGAAGATAGTAACTCTGGCGGCCTGGCCCTGAATTTCAAACTATTCGTTTTTGGGTAATAATGCAGCTGGCATCGAAAAACCTATTCCTAACTTGTAACTTTTTTTCAAAAGTAATGTTGCTGACAAAAATTGGTTCCAATTTGGCTAATGAGTGGTTGTTTGGAGCAGGTGATTTCCTAAGAATGAACATTGTTATACTGTAATCATATCTTGATCGGAATAAACAAGTTACGTAAACTTCTTAATAGCTAGCATAATTAGCACTGTACTCTCTTAATGTATATATAATATTCACAAAATGCATGTGTTTGATTTTCAGGATGAGATTTGAAAACAGACGTCTAAACAGTGTCTAATAGTGCATTCTGCGGTGTAATACCACATTTCAAATGTACTGCGGCACCTACGCGATGAGTTCAAGAGAATTTTACACTGTAGAATCGTCCCTCCCCTCAGATGCACTGGTCAGGACGGCATTAAGCTTCGAGCGCAGGCGCTGACCTCTCGTCTCCTAATCACGTCGTATTCTGTCTTCATTGTTTCCTTTGTATACAGGGCCATATCTTATATTTCGTACCGACATAGTATCGTAACTCTGAAATATGCATTTCGCCTCACATTGCCTTTCCCTTTATGCTTTTCACTCTTAACTATTTTGTTCTTGCAGAACGCTCAACCATGTCCGAAGAGGAGGAAGTGTAGTGCGTTTGTTCCTTTATTCGAGAAGATCATTTTTAAAATTTAATGTGTTTAAGTTTAACTAATTATCAGAAACTTAATTCTATGTTTAAGCTCTGAGGAGGAGGAGGAGATCGAGGAGGAAGAAACTGCTGAAGCTGAAGAAGGTGGTGCCGCCGAGGAAGAGCAGTAAGTACTACAGTAAATCTTGTGCATAAATCACCGACTGAACGTGAAAGTTTCAGACACGAAGATGAACATCCTACTGAGGAAGAAAAGTGAGGTTTTTATTTCTTGATCAAAGCTTACTTGTTTATAAACGTTTCCTCAGACCTAAAAGCCGTCCTCAACAACAAGAAGAGAAAGCTCCTGCTGAAATGACGGAAGCAGAAGCCGCCATGCTTGTAGGTTCAAATTAGGTGTTGCCGATTTCCACTCTACGTTGAATGTGTGCTGCAGGCCGCCAAGAAACGTCACGAGGAGGAGGAAGCGATGAAAATGCTCGACTACGAGCAGCGTCGTCAGGCTGAAAAGCAGAGAATAGAAGAAGAGCTCCGCGAATTGAAAGAGAAGCAGGAAAAGAGACGCCTAGAGCGTGAAGAAGACGAAAGACAATTTGCCGAACGCCGTCGTCAAGATGAGGAACGCAGAAGAAAGGAAGAGGTGTTGTCACTGGAAAACCCATGAAAATGCTATTTAAACCGTCGACTACTGCCATCTTTAGGAAGAAAGAAAGGCTCGAGCCGACGCGGAGAAGAGCCGCAAGAACGAGGAACGATTGCGTCGTCAGCAGATGATGGCTGGCTCGTTCGCTGCGGCTGGACAGGGTCAGTCTACTGGTGGCAGAAACTTCACCATCACAAAAAGCGACCAAGCCGCTCAATTTGGAAATCTTGCTCAGGTATACACGTTCCCACAAACTCTTCTAACGCATATGAATAAGGAAGAGAGTTACGAATATGAACGTTGTTTAGGGTAAGAGCAAGGATGTGCTTAACAAAGAGCAACAGGAGGAAGCAAAGCGCGCGTTCTTGGCTGCTGTGTGCCGTTCAGTCGATATTTCAAACCTCCTTCCAGCTGATCTGAGAGAAAGAATCAAGGGCCTTCACGCCCGTATCTGCAAGCTGGAGGCTGAAAAGTACGATCTCGAGAAGCGCCATGAGAGACAGGAGTATGATGTAAGCAATATAGCAATAAACTCGATTTCTCGGTTTTTGAAAATGTCAGAAAATTCGACACAAAGCTTGAGGAATTGGCTGCTTTAGGTG